CGTCCTTGCTCCCCTAGTAGCGTCCTTGCTCCTAGTAGTAAGGCCAGCTGGGGCTCCTAGTAGCGTCCTTGCTCCTAGTAGTAAGGCCAGGAGCCTCTAGTGGGGCTCCTAGCAGCGTCCTTACTCCCAGTAGTAAGGCCAGGAGCCCCTAGTAGCGTCCTTGCTCCTAGTAGTAAGGCCAGGAGCCCCTAGTGGGGCTCCTAGTAGCGTCCTTGCTCCTAGTAGTAAGGCCAGGAGCCCTAGTAGCGTCCTTGCTCCTAGTAGTAAGGCCAGGAGCCGCTAGTAAGCTTCTTTGCTCCTAGTAACTAAGGGCCAGGAGCCCCTAGTAGCGTCCTTGCTCCCAGTGGTAAGACCAGGAGCCCCTAGTAGCGTCCTTGCTCCTAGTAGTAAGGCCAGGAGCCCTAGTGGGGCTCCTAGCAGCGTCCTTGCTCCTAGCAAGGCCAGGAGCCGCTAGTAGCGTCCTTGCTCCTAGTAGTAAGGCCAGGAGCCCCTAGTGGGGCTCCTAGTAGCGTCCTTGCTCCTAGTAGCAAGGCAAGGAGCCCCTAGTAGCGTCCTTGCTCCTAGTGGTAAGGCCAGGAGCCACTAGTAGCTTCTTTGCTCCTAGGGCCAGGAGCCCCCAGTAGCGTCCTGGCTCCCAGTGGTAAGCGTCCTTGCTCCTAGTAGTAAGGCCAGGAGGCCGTAGTAGCGTCCTTGCTCCTAGTAGTAAGGCCAGGAGCCCCCAGTAGCGTCCTTGCTCGTAGCAGTAAGGCCAGGAGCCTCTAGTAGCTTCTTTGCTCCTAGTAGTAAGGTCAGGAGCCCCTAGTAGCGTCCTTGCTCCTAGTGGTAAGGCCAGGAGCCCCTAGTAGCGTCTTGCTCCTAGTCGTAAGGCCAGGAGCCCCTAGTGGGGCTCCTAGTAGCGTCCTTGCTCCTAGTAGTAGGGCCAGGAGAGGCCAGGAGCCCCTAGTAAGGCTCCTAGTAGCGTCCTTGCTCCTGGTAGTAAGGCCAAGAGCCCCCTAGTAGCGTCCTTGCTCCTAGTAGTAAGGCCAGGAGCCACTAGTAGCTTCTTTGCTCCTACTAAGGCCCTTTTGCGTCCTTGCTCCTAGTGGTAAGGCCAGGAGCCCCTAGTAGCGCCCTTGCTCCTCGTAGTAAGGCCAGGAGCCCCTCTAGGCCCATTGCTCCTAGTAGCTTCTTTGCTCCTAGTAAGGGCCAGGAGGCCAGGAGCCCACTAGTGGGGCTCCAGTAGCGTCCTTGCTCCTAGTAGTAAGGCCAGGAGCCCCTAGTGGGGCTCCTAGCAGCGTCCTTGCTCCTAGTAGTGAGGCCAGGAGCCTCTAGTGGGGCTCCTAGTAGCGTCCTTGCTCCTAGTAGTAAGGCCAGCTGGGGCTCCTAGTAGTGTCCTTGCTCCTAGTAGTAAGGCCAGGAGCCCTAGTAGCGTCCTTGCTCCTAGTAGTAAGGCCAGGAGCCACTAGTAGCTTCTTTGCTCCTAGTAAGGGCCAGGAGCCCCTAGTAGCGTCCTTGCTCCCAGTGGTAAGACCAGGAGCCCCTAGTAGCGTCCTTGCTCCTAGTAGTAAGGCCAGGCGCCCCTAGTGGGGCTCCTAGTAGCGTCCTTGCTCCTAAGGCCAGCAGCCCCTAGTAGCGTCCTTGCTCCTAGTAGTAAGGCCAGGAGCCACTAGCTTCTTTGCTCCTAGTAAGGACCAGGAGCCCCTAGTAGCGTCCTTGCTTCCAGCAGTAAGGCCAGGAGCCCCTAGTAGCGTCCTTGTTTGTAGTAGTATGGCCAGGAGCCCCTAGTGGGGCTCCTAGTAGCGTCCTTGCTCCTAGTAGTAAGGCCAGGAGCCCCTAGTAGCGTCCTTCCTCCTAGTAGTAAGGCCAGGCGCCACTAGTAGCTTTTTTGCTCCTAGTAAGGGGCAGGAGCCCCTAGTAGCGTCCTTGCTCCTAGTGGTAAGGCCAGGAGCCCCCAGTAGCGTCCTATCCTCCTAGTAGTAAGGCCAGGAGCCCCTAGTGGGGCTCCTAGTAGTAGGGCCAGGAGCCTCTAGTAGCGTCCTTGCCCTAGTAGTAAGGCCAGGAGCCCCTAGTAGCGTCCTTGCTCCTAGTAGTAAGGCCAGGAGCCCCTAGTAGCGTCCTTGCTCGTAGTAGTAAGGCCAGGAGCCTCTAGTAGCTTCTTTGCTCCTGGTAGTAAGGTCAGGAGCCGCTTCTTTGCTCCAAGTAGTAAGGCCAGGAGCTTCTAGTAGCGTCCTTGCGTAAGGCCACGACCCACTACTAGCTTCTTTGCTCCTAGTAGTAAGGCCAGGAGCCCCTAGTAGCGTCCTTGCTCCTAGTAGTAAGGCCAGGAGCC